GCATAGGGTAGGTTGGAGGACAGTCAAACGGCGGTTCGGTGTTTCAAAAAAATCAGAAATGATTAATAACTTTTTACTAATTAAGCTGAAGGGCTAAGTCTTATATATTTGAAAAGCCATTGAAAAATGGATGTAAAACATGTGTCCTATGTTAATATTTGTTAAAATAAAAAATAACTATTTTTGAAAAATTTTCTAAATTTTTTTTAATGAGCAGGCCTTGAAAAGTTGGACTAGGGACAAGTATCACACTTCCCTATCTCACCTCTAAGGGAAAAATATATATTAGACAAAAATTGCCCAATCGGAAAAGGGTTAATTTAGGAATTTCCAAAATCAACATTTTTTCTGGGTAACTTTTTTTTTAAATTTTGTCTAGCAATAATTATAAACCTTCACTGAGGTCATTTAAGTGTTCAGCCTGTTTCGCGACCAAATCTGGCCGCTTTAAATATCCTAAAGTATTAACCTAGTCATAATCTGCTATGGGGTTTGATTGGAACCAGCACTAAATCTCAGATCTATTGGATACAAAATCTACTTCTTTTAGGCTCACTTCCTCGAGATAACTGTGCTCTGAATAGTACTAGACGGGTTCAATCTGTAAAAGATTGCCTGAGTAGTTTATTTATAACTGTAAAAAATACAATATGCAGAGAAGAAAATATATACAAAATTAGTTCGCGGAAATAAAATATTTACTAGCTCGAAATATCGAATAAACTCTAACATGGATAAATTTAACTTAAAAAGGATAGAAACTCATTTCTCATATAAGAAGAAGTAGTAATTAATACCTTAATGTGCCATAAGCAGATCGCAACGATAATACTTGCTGTATCAAAATAACAAGTGTAACTGAAGTAAAAATGGCGGATACAATACAGATTTAAGGTAAAGTTTACAATACAAAACTGGTTTCGACTAGTTACTACAGACACGGTCCCTCTCTTTACTTCAGGGGTTTCACATCTTCTAAGAGGAGAGCTCAAGGGCGGGGAGTTAAGAATGAGACGATTACGAATGTCGAGTAACACACCCACAATCCGCCCAAAGGACCAGCAAAGAGCAGCTTCAACTTCTTGTAGAACACCATGAAAAGATCACATAAGCTAAAAATCACTGTAGAGCAGCTCAAAAGTTGCCACCTCTTAAAAATAATAATCATGGATACATTTAGACATATACAATACAATAGACATATTCAGAATACGATCACTAGAGACTCTATTAGAGTTCTCCCTAACCCTTAACGGGCTTAATCACTAATATTCAAACTTAACAGGCTTCTGAATCCTCAATATAGCTTGAGATCTTCCACCTCAGGAGGTATCTCGAACCTGAAAGGGACAGCTCCAGGATCCTTGATCAGCTTGTCGTAGGTCAGAACATGTCCTGCACCATCTCTTTTCACCTCCCTGTTCACCACAGAGGTAGGACCAGGAGCAGGAACTTCATGAGAAGAAACACACACCGGAGGCAAAGTAGGCTTCTCCGCTAACGGAGAAACAGTGAAACCCTCTTTGCCAGCCAGCTTAATCCTCTTCCTCTGGAACTTAGTAGGCTTCCTGACCTTGGAGTATGTCCGCTTCCGACCAGTCCTCTTCACCCAGGCAGGGAGAGCAGGAACACAATCTCTCTATCTGGAATGTTCCTGGAAAGCCCAGTTCTTGGAGAGGTCCATCAGCCAGCTCACACGAGCGTGGCGTATCTCGGTTTCCTTTGCTAACTTCTCCAGAAGTCTTGTCTCATGAGACAGTGTGTTCAAAACAGCACAGTTTAAACCCTGCTAAGCTCAAGACTGGAGCAGGGACATCAAAGATCCTCCTGTAGGTCAGCCTCATGGAATCACACATGTTGTTGAAGAACATCCTAAACTCCACATCCCGTTTCATCCTTGCAAAGAAGGCCCTAAATCTTTCAGGGTTCTTTCTCACCCACTCAAGCAAGCACCAACGCTGACTCCTCCCACTCCTGGCACAGTGATCAGTAGAAGGATCAAACTCCAGTAAACCAGACTCAACTGGTCTCACTAAACCTTTACCATCCAACCCTGGTTGGTTTTAGTGGATAATAAGGCTCAATATTGAGTCTTGTTCTCATCAAAACCCGGAATGCGCCAATTCCTACAATGAAAATCCGACAAATAGAATTTTAAACTAGTTTTTTGAACTCAACTCTGTTGAAAATGAGATGCAGCTTGAATTCGAAAGATCAAGTTGAAATAAGGCCCAACGACAGCTTAGACACGAGGCAAATTTTCCCAAGTTTTTTAAATCGTGGGTTCTGGTTTGCTCACTGTTACCATCTCTCAACATTGATGAACTGTCTAGCATAGGTGGGATACACTGAAATTGACCTAGGAACAGGGTTATCTGATGCCACTACAGTGCTGACACTATTGTCTACAGGCAATATCTCAACTCAGGATAAACTAAAGAGAGCTCTTCCTCTGGATAGATTTTCAACTGGGTTCATCGAACTTTGAATACCCTTCTTGTTGTTGAATACATCATCTTGATGCATACTTCTGTTCAACGACAAATTCATCCCTGCGAATTACGATGAGGCAGATCGGTCTGGTAGGTTTGTGGAACATCTCCATCCTGATCATCATTACGTGCAGCGAAGGCTCTCCTCTGGAAGCTCTTCAATCTAACCTTGAGGTTATTCAATTCCCTGATAAAGGAAAAACCTCCCCTAGCTAGAAGAACCCCGGAAAAGCATTGCTAAATATACTTGCAAGAACCGCCACATTTAAATTCAATAAACTTCATGGGTTGACATGAATTTGAAACAAATGCCCCCACTCCTCAATCTTAGCTTTAATATTCAAGTAATCAGATCTCAATTTCTCAATAGCCCTATCGAGTTTGTTCTCAAAAAAATAGAAGTATCTCCACAATAAATATAATTTCTCTAATAGAATCTTATATTTTAAGAGAATTATAAGAGAATGAAAAATCTGTTAATTTTAAAATTGTTAAATTAGAATTAGTATTTAAAAAAATATGTTTATACATGTTTTAATGTGTGTTTAAATTGAGGATGGAGACAGATTAAATCCCGCAAACTTTAAGATCTATGTTTATAGTCTCATGATCTTAAATAAAAAATTCACATGCATGTACAGGATATGTATATGCTTTCTTGAGAGCAAGGTAACCAAGACCCCCTAGATACGGCAGAGAGCCTAAGAGAAGTAAATAAGAGGAGGAATGTACTCTGGTCTTATTCAGTGCCACTGAGAGGCCAAACCCTTGAGAGTAAAGACTTCAAAGTTCAAACAATTTGGATACCATTCAGATTAAAAGCAAAAATGAACTCAGATAATAATCAAACTTTAGTTAGCACCAATACAACTGATAAAGATGTCTCCTCTGTCTTTAACTTTTTGATATTCTGTTATATGTCAATCATACTCTTGGTATCAAACATTAGTGCGGGGACAATACGGGCATATAGATTGTCTCTCCCCTACCTCAGGAACCGAATTTAATGAATTGAAGAGAGGTTGCTGAACTATATACCACCAGTTTAACTATTTATCAAGTACTTACTCACTCAAATCCTAAATCACTGATTCAAAGTTCAAGATTTTGATCAACCCTAATGAGAATTAGCTGATTCAGAGTAAATTTTCCGAAAATTCCAACCAATCGAAGCACCAAAAATATTGGGTTAAAAATCTATTTACTAAAGGCTGCTTCGTTGAAGCCAAATCGCACGATTAATAAATCCTGCCAGGTGGATTTAAGGCTAGATTCTATTTATCTACCCTACTGTTTCATTAGAGGTGTATATCGCGGCATTAACGTTAATGCCGCGATGTATTAATAGCAGGATAAGTAAATCCACCCGCACAGATTATCTACCCTAGATCCTACGATTAGCTGGGTTTGGCTCAAATTATGAGAGAGAGAGAGAGAGATAGATAGATAAATAGATAGATAGATGAAAACATAAATAGCAAGAAAGAAATAAAAGATGAAAAATAAAAAATGAAAAATAATAAAAAATGTAGAGTAAATATTGAATTTTCATCTATACATTGTCTGTTTGTCTCTTGGTTTCAGAGAAGAGATACGAAGACTTCAGTTTAAAGTTTTCAATCCTAGGGAATTCTATAGATTATTCCATTTGTCCATACAGGGACTGTTTTGTCAATCTTTCAGCCTTATAAAGATAAGAAATACCCTGAAATTACTAACAACCTAATTGGCCTGTTGAGATTCTATCGATTTTTCCAATTATCCATTAAAAAAATTATAATTGAACTTTTTTATTTGTTAAATTATTTAGCCTCTAAAGAATATCAAATACCTCGAAATTAATAACAACCTACTTGGCCTGTTGTAATTCTATAGATTTTTCCAATTATCTAGTAAAAAATTATAATTGAACATTTTTTTTGTTAAATTTTTCAGCCTTATAAAGATATTGAATACCTTGAAATTAATAACAACCTAATTGGCCTGTTGTGATTCTATCAATTTTTCCAATTATCTAGTAAAAAATTATAATTGGACTTTTTTATTTGTCAATCTTTCAGCCTTATAAAGATATTGAATACCTTGAAATTACTAACAACCCAATTGGCCTGTTGTGATTCTATCGATTTTTCCAATTATCCAGAACTTTGGGTCAGGCAACTTAATTCTGGACTCTAGAGTCTACAATGCATTTCTCCCTCGCCTCATACAATTCCCCCCTCCGGTCCCGCATTTTCCCTATCCAAAAGGCTGATACAGCCTTCTGGGGAAAAATGTTCCCCCTCATTTTTCGTACATTTTTTCATAACCTTTTCTTATGTTGTGAATACTTCAGCACTTACTTATCTCAGCAAGTATTTTGAAAAAAAAAATAAAACTCGTATCCAAAGAATACGAGCAGAAAAAGGTTGTGACTATTGAACAACCCTTGGGCTACGCCCTCGGGTTTATCATTGAATCCCTCGGGGGTTTAAATTTCCATTGATTCTAATTTGTCTGAGAGTGAATGATACATTGTACAAAAAGCTTAAGTGGAATGAAAAATTTGTCTATGAAATTTGCAAAAAAATACCTTCTGGGATAGACAAGTTCTTTTAATATTCTCAACAACTTACAACATATCCTTTGATTTTAATTTAATATGTTTGAGATTACCCTGTATTTGTTCAATGCTAACAATTTGTCTCTGTAAATTTGTAATTAAATAGATTTCCTCATCTAGTTTTGACGGATTTGCATTTACAAATTGATAAATATTTGATCTAATTTCCTTCAACAAATATCACAATATGCGTGAATATTATTCAGAAGATTAATCATCATAACTAAGAAAACCATTTTTAAGAAATATGATAATAATTTATTTACAATATATATTATTTTATCATTAGATTCTGATGATAAAATCAGTGAGCTTTGAATAAAGGATCATATGAAAAACATTTGTAAACTTTGAAAAATTATTAATGTAGTATAGATACATCAAACACTTATTAAAAATAGTGCTATATAAGAGTTATTTGCAACAAAATAGTTTTATCAATTCAGGTTTAATCAAAATATTTGGCAATATTGTTATATGGAAATGTTTTAAAAAATGCGCTAAAAATGAGGAGGACATTTCTTCTGCCAGTTTGGTTTCTGATTCAAAAACTAGATCCCACATCAGGACAACAAACAAAAAATCATAGAGAAATCTCTAGTAAAGGAAGTCAGAAGGCTTCATTGGCCTATTGGAAAGGGGAAATGCGGGTGAGGGAGGCCGGAGGGGGATAGTACAGAGTCCTTAAATAAGTTTCCCGACCCAAAGTTAATGACATTAGACACCCCACATTGACTTTTTAAAATCCGAAAAATGCGCAAAAATTTTTCTCCTATTTTGTTTTTGATTCAGAAGCTAGATCCCAAAATTCAGGCCTGAATACTTGATATCTGAGAACCTTGCTTTTTGTTCACTTGACAAACTTCAGATGGCAAACATAACATTTTTATTTAGGATTATTCAAATAATTGTGTCACGTCTTGACTAGGGTTTCCAGCAAAATAGAAAAATCGTAATGGAAAATTTTGCATTTTTCGCATTTTGGTAACTACACAAATTTTGTAAATAAACAATTTGGAAACTTCCCAAATGGGTAAATACACAATTTGGAAAATTCACTAATTTGGTAACTACACAATTTAGTAACTTCACAAATTGGTAACTACACAATTTAGTAACTACATAATTTGGTAACTACACAATTCGGTAACTTCAAACAATGGTAATTAAACAATTTGGTAACTACACAATTTGGTAACTACACAATTCGGTAACTTAAAAGAATGGTAACTAAACACTTTGGTAACTACACAATTTGGTAGCTACACAATTTGATAACTACACAATTTGGTAGCTACATAATTTGGTAACTACACAATTCGGTAACTTAAAAGAATGGTAACTAAACAGTTTGGTAACTACACAATCTGGTAACTACAAAATTTGATAACTACACAATTTGGTAACTACACAATTTGGTAACTACACAGTTAGGTAACTACACAATTTGGTAGCTACACAAATTTAGTAACTACAAGATTTGGTAACTACACAATTTAGTAACTACACAATTTGGTAACTACACAATTTGTTAACTACACAATTTGGTTACTTCACAAATTGGTAACTACACAATTTGGTAACTACACAATTTGGTAACTACACAATTTGGTAACTAAACAATTTGGTAACTACACAAAATTGGTAGCTACAAAATTTGGTAACTGCAAAATTTGGTAACTACACAAATTTGTAACTTCACAAATTAGATAACTCAACAAACATGGTAACTACACATATTAGGGTACTAAACAAATTCCATAACTAGACAAGTTTGGTAACTATACAATTTGGTTCAGAGTTGTCCGGAACAAGGTGGCAGAATAACACTAGATAAGAAACCTCCTCTAAAAGACAAAACCAGTAATTAAAACTAACTTTATGTTACAGCGCCCCTGATAATTAGCTATAGACTAAGCTACTATGTGTAAATATTGAATTATCAATTGTATATTGTCTGTAGTCTGTTTGTTTATTTGTTTGTTTGTAACCATAAACGTCAAAGCCGCTGAACGAATCGGGCCCAAATTTTTTGTAGGACCTTACCATGAAATTAGAAAAGGTTTGTGGGTGGTTGAATTAAAAATCTAAAATATTTACGGTTTCAATTTTGTAAACCGGAAAATTTTCTGGAATATTTAATGTTAACTGTGAACATTCTGGTTTTTATTTGATTTGAAACGAAGACTATCCCGGAACAAATATCCAGACTATTCCATTTACAAAATGGAATTTTTTTCCGGAATAATGGAAAACCTTATCTCCATCTATAGCGATCTACAGATTAATGTTTTAGTTCCTCTTCCTATCCTATGATAGTTTTTCTCTGCTGGATCCACAAATTTCAAAGTCCCCCCATTGGATATCAAAATCAAGTGTTAGAGATGAACAATATCCACACAAAAGTGCAGATCTCTTAATTATTAAATTAAAGATTGAATCTATTTTGAATGTATGTCCCTCACAATATATATCAGGTAACAATTAGGAATCTTTCCAAGGAATCCGCGGAAATTTCCTGGAATCTTTTACAGGAAAATCCACTGAAGTCGACAGAAGTTGGAGCTTTTCTCAAAAATTTCCAGGGAAAGATTATCCATCGAGAAATTCCTGGGATGGACACCATACAGTGGCAGGGGTTTGGCCATGCTGGAGAATTTCTTATGATTATTTCTCGGGAATATATCAGAACCAATTCTCGTAACCCATTTCAAGGAATTTCTCAAAATGCCTCTTATTCAGTTCCAAAAAATTCTGTAAAATTAGTGACCAAATCCTGAGAATTTCTCAGGAATTTCCGTAGAAATATTTGGGAAATATTCTTTTGAATTCTTGGGAAAAATTCAGGAGAAATTCTCAAGAATTTTTTTAAAGACTAAGTCTCGTTTATAGCTCCCCAAAAGTTCTGAGAATTTCTCAGCAATTTCCAGAGAAATTCTCAGGAAGCAAGTTACCAAAACTGGAGAACTTGGGAAAATTCATCACTTTTGTTACCTTGGATGTGGTTCGGACCTCATATGAGAAATATTCATTCATTCTTTACAAAACTTTATATGCAGAGTTGTGGAACAATGCTGAGTTTGATAACATTCATGCCCTACTGGATTGCTCTACTAGCTGAGTTAGCTATCGTGTACCATTTGTATCTGGCTTTGGGACTTTCCATGGGAATCTCAGCTTGCAGACTCCTTATGATTATCCAAGTAAGTCTGTGTGGTTATCAATGGAGTTTTTTTAGGTTTGCAACCATTGCATCTTGCTATAGCTCATGACGGGAAAAAATTATGGCGCATTTATTTTCAATAGTCATGTTTTCATTTATCATTTCTTTCTATTGACAAAAATTTTACGTTTATCTTCATTAGTACAAAAATAGAGCCATGATGTTAAGGACGATTCCAATGGATAAGTAAAATTTTGATGACAATATTATGATATAAATTTAAATTCCAGTTTGACAAGATGATCCAGTTCGAACCAGAGAAGTTTTGCCATAGATTGCTGACTACTCTACTCATCCTGACTGTTGTGATCATTGGCTACCCTGCATATTATACTATCTCAAATGGTTAAGTTATTTTAACAAAAGCTAATTTTAGTGAAAAATTACTAGTCATCTTTAAAAGGAATAGAATGTCACCCTCTTAGATAGAATTTTTTTTAAAATAATTATAATTCTCCTCAGTACATGTGAGGCAGATTTTTTTCATGTCTAAGTCAAAAAAAGGAAATGTCAAAAAAGTTGTCTAAGACAATCTTTGTGCCCCAATAGAGTTAAATTTAAAGCATTTGAAAATCATTTGAAATCTTTTGTATTGATTTAAAAGAGGATGAGTTCTATTTAATTCTAAAGGACCCATAATCTACAAATTAAATGGCTAATTTACAACAACCAAGTACCCCTTAACAAAAAGAGAGAACGTTTTGTTTAGCGGATAGGTGTCCCAGTTTTGCCATAGAAATACAATGGGATAAATTTGGTCAATTTCCTTCCTTATCTTTGCTCCATTAGTCACTTTAACGCAGGAAAAAAAATATCTTTGTAAATTTTGCTCAGAAAAAGAATGTAACTCTTAAAAATACGGGAGGGGAACATATATAAATAATATAAGGACCAAATATAACCAACCAAAAATATAACCAGTTTTGGCTAAAATTATAACCATTTTGGACCAAAAATATAACCCATTTTGACTAAAAATATGGTAATATTAATTGTTGAAAAATGGAAAGGTTCAAAATTGGTAACATTTTTATTTTTATTATAAATGGTTATTTTTATGGTTCAAAACATTTTTGGTTTAAAAATAGTTATATTTTTGGCTAAAAATAGTAAGATTCATGGCTGAAAAAATGATTATATTTAATGTTCATAAATGGTTAAATTTTTGGCTATAAATGGTTAAATTTATGGTTTAAAAATGGTTATATTTTTGGTTAAAAACAGTTAAACTTTTGTTTAAAAATAGTTGTGTTTATGGTTTAAAAATGGTTGTATTCTTGGTTAAAAATAGTTAAATTTTTGATTAAAAATGGTTAAATTTTTTTAATAGAAATAGTTATTTACAGTTGTTATAGTTTTGGTGGTTTTAATATTAGAGTTACATTTTTCCCGGCCTATAGATGTATATGCTTGACATATATGCTTGCACAGAAACAAACATATTTTAAACATTATAAACGTTTCATGAACTTTTAGGCGTGGTTGGGATAATCATTGGACTTTTCACTGGATTAGAGAGTTCCTCAACTGTTGGTGCGTTTCAGATAAGTTTTATAATACTGTTGGCTGTAACTGTTATTACAACAGTTGGTTCGTATTTGTTTGGAAAGTACTATCTGAAGAAGCACCACTCCACCATCAGGAAACCAATTAAAAGTTTTAAGGAGTATTTGAAATGTTTTTATTGTTTACTTTTTCTTTTTCTTAGTGCAGAGAAACACCACTTTGAACTAAGATAACTTGTATCATTAAGTAATGAAGAAACAATTAATTCAGTTTTTATGAAGCTATTATGTACTTTATCAAGCATGGTATTTTAATGGTAAATTTTTTTATAGAAAATCATCTATAAATGACAATTTTAGCTTTATAGCAACATACTATAAAGTTTAATAGCTAATTGGTTTTTCTCCACAAAATTTGGGATATTTCTAGAATTTAAATGTAAATGAAAATTAAAATAAAATTAACTTTTATCTTAATTTCTGGTTTGTTAACCAGCTTTTTTATCTAGAAACATTTGATAAAATATAAACAATATTATTTTGGCACCACTAAATTTTATCTTTCATTCAAAGATTCGCGCCTTTTTAGATTATATTTTGTCTTGAGTTTCAACAAGGAGAAAATATAATCTAAAAGGGCTTAAAACTTCTAGACATAGAAAATAGTTCTGTCAAAACACCTCCATAGTACTGCAAACCAAAATAATAATGTTTTAAATAGAATTAGGAAATTTTTCTTTAAATTTGATTGGATAAACTTGCTAGTGTGCTATCAGAGACAGGAGAGGCTGGAAAAAATATGATCAGCATGAAGTCAATCATCAAAATCATCGGCAGTCTTTCACTTCTTTTTTTCATTTCACTTGGATTCTTAACAGTTGGTGGACATGTTGAAATTGCAGTGATCATTTTTGTAACATTATTCACTCTATATCTTATCAAATATGTCCAATCCCCAAAAATAAAAGATTTTTTCCATCACAAGTTGTCACAGACAAAGACAAAGACAAATGAAAAATGGATTGTCTTCAAATCTTCAATCTTAAGTTTTAAAATGAACAAAGTTGGTGTTCAGATTATGATTCAAGAAGCGTAAATATTACTTGCTGTCAATATTTTTTAAACTACATTATTTGTCTACTTATTATTAATGTTTCTTTAACTGTTTAATAATATACATATTGTATGAGTATGTAATAAAACACTAAAATTAATGTTTTTTTTTACTAAATGTTATGTTCGTCACAATAACATAAATATACAAAGAGAGAAGATATAAAGCATTCAATCATCGTTATTTCTGATTCTATCGATTTTCCAATTATCCAAAAAAGTTCTTTAATTGGACTTTTTTATTTGTTAAATTATTAAGCCTCTCAAGAATATCAACTACCCTGAAATTACTAACAACCTTATTGGCCTGTTGTGATTTTATAGATTTTTCCAATTATCCAGTAAAAAATTCTTTAATTGGACTTTTTTATTTGTCAATCTTTCACCCTCTAAGTATATCAAATAACTCGAAATTAATAACAACCTTATTGGCCTATTGTAATTCTATCGATTTTTCCAATTATTCAGTAAAAATTATAATTGGACTTTTTTATTTGTCAATCTTTCAGCCTCATAAAGATATCATATACTCCGAAATTAATAACAACATAATTGGTCTGTTGTGATTCTATAGATTTTTCCAATTATCCAGTAAAATATTGTAATTGGACATTTTTATTTGTTAAATTATCTAGCCTCTTAAGAACATCAACTACCCAGAAATTACTAACAACCTACTTGGCCTGTTGTGATTCTAACGATTTTAACCAATTATCCAGTAAAAAAATATGATTGAACTTTTTAATTTGTCAATCTTTCAGCTTCCCAAGAATATCAACTACCCCAAAATTACTAACAACCTTATTGGTCTTTTGAGATTCTATCGATTTTTCCAATTATCCAGCAAAAACTTTTAATTGGACTTTTTTATTTTGTTAGATTTTTCAGCCTCTCAAGAATATCAAATACTCTGAAATTAATAACAGCCTAATTGGTCTGTTGTGATTTTATAGATTTTTCCAATTATCTAGTAAAAAATTATAATTGAACTATTTATTTGTCAATCTTTCAGCCTTATAAGATATCAAATACTTTGATATCAAATACGCCCATACTCAACCCTTGTACTTCAGAATATTCTTCTGCCCCTTGATGATCTAATTTTACAGCAAAATATGATTTTTATGTTTTCTTATGATAGAAATATCTTACCTAATTCCTTCCAGGATTATTTTTTACAAAGCTCTGAACGAGGGTTGAATCCAGGACTTAGAAATGCTAATGAGTCAGATCTGAATTTCTTAGAAGATTCCCTTTTTCCAATTATCCAGTAAAAATTATTATTGGACTTTTTTATTTGTCAATCTTTTAGCCTTATAAAGCTAGATATCAACTACCCCGAAATTAATAACAACCTAATTGGCCTGTTGTCATTCAATAGATTTTTTCATTTGTCTGTTAATAAAGTCTACTTTTTATACATTTTTTAAAAGTTTAATTTATACCTAAGTCCCTCAACCAGACCTTGCTTTTTCAATTCTGTTCTTAAATATCACTTATTTACTCCAGAAGGCAGAACAACAAATCATATTTATCAAAGATTTTTCAAAAACCTGTAAGGGCTTAACTGACTATATGTAACACATACATATTTAAATGAATATATAAACGCTCTGCTTAATATATTAAAGTACAGCCCTATATAAATAAAGTTTGTAATTTCTAGGGTTTAAACTGTTTTATTTAAATCCCTATATGCGCAACTTTGTATTGTTATTCTGCGTTCTATTCAGAGCTGAAATTCCAAGCAAAAATAATTCCATTGTCTACATTGTTGTATTTGCTACTTGAGACATTCTAACGTTTTAAAAAGCAAACATTTTCGGAAGCAACGATGTTACCTCATCACATCATCCAGACAGAACAATTACTAGGCTGAGAGAATATCAGAAATATGAAGACGACATTTGAAAATTGATTATTCCTGCGAGGTGGGGAATTGCCATTTTTATTATGAGTCACTTTTAAGAAAATAAAAATAATTGATGTAGAGAATATAAATAAACAACAAATATTTTAGAACAAAATTTAGTTATAGTTTTTAAATTAAAACAATTTAAATGCTTCACACCCTTAGATTTTTGAACTGAAGACTTCTTATTTTATGTATTAAATAATATGAAAACAAAATAAGGCCAAATATACACATTGAGTAGTTTTTGTTGTACTGAATATTTTTAATATCACAATTTCCTTACCAATCATCATATGGAAACATTACGAAAATTATAGATTTTATAGATTTTAATAAATAAAAAATGATAATTTTATATTACTGTAAGAAAATAAACTTAATGTATACTTTGCTTGTTTGTCTGTCTGTCCTGGCGTTTGTGTGTTTGTTTGTATCCAATAAACGTCAAAACGGTTGAACCGATCGGGACCATCTTTTGTGTGCGACCTCAAGTGAGCCTAGGGAAGGTTTATGAATAAACAAAATTAAAAAATTTGCCTTCATCAAAATTCGATTTTCATTAAATTTTGAAAAATTTTGAAAATCCATGAAATTTTTTGTTGAAAAACGCGAAAAGCCTAGTATATACAAGGTGTCCCATATCATATTAGATCGTCAGTCAGTCTAAATCATGTTTTTTGGAAGTAATAAGTAATTTTAAGAAGAATACAGTGAAACCCTTAATAAAGAATACATCGAAAGAATTCATCAAATGTCGTATTCTTCACTTTCTGATAATGGAATGTTGCAGATATTTAGTTTTTTAATTAAATGATTATATGGAACTCTTTAAAACTGTTCCCGCATATTCATGGCTATTTATTTATTTTCGCAAATACTGAAATTTAAGTTATATAGTATAAAACTCATTGAAAAATTGTCAAGACGACATTTGATAAATTCTTCCAATGTATTCGTTATTAAGGGTTTCACTGTATATTATTTCGTAAAATTGATTAAGGCTAAAATAAATTTTTTCTTGCAGAAAATGTAAGGTTTTTCGAGTATTATGGGTTTTTGTGGCGTTAAAGCTTGGAGATAGTCTAATATGATATGGGACGCTCTGTATCACAAAGAGTAACAAGGAACTAATTAATTGCATGTTAAATGTACATAGTACAATTATACTGATGGTAATAGTAAACAAAACAGAATTTTGTAAACATTTACGTTATAAAATGACACAAATTTGTATTGCAAGGGATACTAATGTATCTTAATAATACAAATATGTACCATCTTGGCTTTAATGGACTTATAGAATGTCGTCTTCTAAATGTATTCGAGCCTGGTGTTTGTACCAGAAAAATTTCAAATAGTGTTTTAGAATAAAGTGTTAACTTTTTAAATTCTAATTAGCATGCAAAACACAGCAATTGTGCAGCTAAACAGACCCATTTTACTAAATTAGTGTCTTGCTATGATATCGTCTTCTTATTCCATTGTTTTCTGGTTATCACTGTACTTGAAAATCTAAGGATCGAACGTTATCATTAAGCCCTTGCGAGCTTATTTCCTAAAGGGGTTTTCTTAGCTAAAGGGTGAGCACAAGTTTTTCAGTTGTCTGAAAATCCAAAAACCCTTATTTGAATTTTCCTATGATTTTTAAAGCACATTTTATGGTTATAAGAAGTCAACATAGTCTTTTACAAATGTTGGATCAGCATATTAGTTTTTTTTTATAAAATTCTTTAATACCATAAAGGTGTTGATAGTACCGTTTAAAGACCCTGAACCACAGGTCCGACAGGGTTACCCACGAAGGATGAGATTATGAAGACGACCTGAAACTGGTCCAAAAATGACCCCCGTTTAAATTATTCTATGGTTAGAGGCAAAGAAAGAAACAAGTTTACAGTTTTCAGAAATATAGGAAATAGACAGTATAAATTTAGTTAAAACGTACGTTCTTTGCGGGAAACCGTGTATGTAAGATGAAATACTGTAAGTTTCTAATATTTCCAAGTTTAAAATTAATTATCCAATTAGTGTTCTTTACTTTACATCTCGTTTTTATTTTTCAAAATCCAATTTTGGAATATTAAAAAGAAAAATTTTAGCAGAAAAACCTTTTTCATCTCTTCTAGAAGTAAGACTTTCCCTTTACATTGCAAAACCATAAATATATCGATCTTAATTCAGTTTTTTAAATTGTTTTTTGTTTAAACCATTGTTTTCAAACCGGAGTATACCTATCTCACGTTGAAGTGACAGTTTAGGCTAATTTTCAACCCACAAGAAAAATCTGATTACATTGTTCCAAGGACAATAGACTAATGAATGAAAAACTTGGATTATTGATGATGATGTTGCAACACCTGTGCATAATTTCAATCTTATATGTTTTCAATCTCAATCATAACACACTATTGTTTCAGTAGAAGTAAATATTTCCATTTACGCCGATATAAGGATTTATTTCTAATTGGATGATGAGATAGATAGAAAGATAGATGTTACCGCCATGCAATTTCTATTGGTTCAGAATAGACAACAAACACATGGCTGAACCCTGATTGGATCAGGCGCTAGAGTGAACACCTCTTATTTAATAGCTGCTGAGAAGAGCAAACCTGTTTTGAATTTTTAATATTTTCTGGATTATTTGCTATCTCAAACTTGTACGTAAATTTAAATTTTAGGAGCTACGAGGTCACAAAGACGTATCAGTAATGGTGCATATAGTGACTTTCTCCTTTTGTTTAAGTTTCAGTGATTTAAAATGATGTTTGAAAATGTATGAAAGACTTAATTTAAAGCTTAATTTTTTGATGTCCTTTTGGTCTCATTCAACCCTATAATCCACGATATAAAATATTAATCTCTGTTTGTCTATTTGGATTTCCAATGATAACTGTAAAAACCGTTTCGAGCTCAGTAGAATAACGGGAATGCTCGAAACTTAGGTTAAAGATTTTTTCTTTTAAGAAATTTGACTCTTTTAAGAGTAAATTTTAGTTTCCAGTCATAGCTGGGTTCCTTAATAATGGCAGATCCTTTATAGTTGGTGTTTATCTCTATGCAGCTTGCGGAATTTATCCAGCGGAGATAAAAACTGAAATTAACGAAAAAATTTGCATTTAAAAAGATTTATTGAGAGTTGATCAGCTGTTCAACGCATTTGCTTGTATTTTTTGAATTAAGTATATAACACATGCTTTTATATAAACAATATAAGTCTATATGTATGTTTGTATTAATATATATTTTTTTCTTTCAAATGCAAAAAATGTATTCAAAAATTATTTGGAATGCAATAACACCGTCATTGAAAAAAAAATATTTAAATTTTTCTTAGTAAAAATTTAATCAGAATTAATCAGACTACGATATTGATATGATTTCTTGTTTTAAACAGCATTCAGACTCAGTTCTTTAACAAATGTTAACATTTTTAGTTTATCTTTATAATATTGGTAAAAGCACTGTGATTATGTATTATTAGGATTTTAAAACATGCTTGAAACACTGCCTCCGAAAGATAAAATGGTCACGCAGACACTGCCTCCGACTTTTGTTCAAGGTTTTCACGATGAGACGATTATAAAAAAAATGGAATTCAGGAAACATACAGCTTTTTCAGCATTTCAAATTACTAATTCCATGTAAAAAGTTGCTTTGCTAGGTACACCTTGTGGATGAGACTTCAGAGACGATTGTATTCAACCTTTTTTCTTAGATTCAAGCTGACTTATTTAATTTTTTTATACATCATATATTTTCATACAATCTCAGGCCGCCAAAACCCGGTTTAAATTAAGCGCCGGCTTAAATCTTGAAACATTTGATTCAATTTAAGTATCTGCAACAAAGATCAAATTTGAACAAACTAAAATATTTATTGCGAAATCCAGTTATCAATTAAAAAATATGAGAAACTAAAATTGCAAAATATGAAATTTTTTAAGAAAAACACCTGAACTATGAATTCAAGGACCCACCTCCCCCCTCAGAAGGAATAAAGGAATAGGATTAAAGGGAGAGACCGGCTAGACATGATAGTTAAGCTGTGAGTACAGTATTGTAGAAACATTATTTAGGATTCATTTTAGACCTATGAGACCTATTTACGGTGTATAATTGTTCAGCAAGAGGAAAAATTTGATCTTTAAAATCCTCCTGGATTGTCGTGCCAAAACCTGCTGGACAGGCGTGCCATGCCACAACCTTTTTGCTCTGCTGAACAATTGTACACCGTAGAAACGTCTGATATTTAGGTCTCAAATGTATCCTTTAAAAAAAGTTCTAGACAACACTGCAGTCTCAGCTCAACTACCAATTCTCTAATAGATTATTAAAAAATAATATTTAGGAGGATTATATGGAGAAACAATGGTTGATGAGTGCGCTGATATTATTGGGATGAATCTAAAAGCTGGAATCAACTTTATAGATACTGCTCCTTGGTAACACCAGATAGGATGTCATGATTGGATAGTAGTGAAATTAGTTGAACTCGTTCTTCATAGTTCAATTACTTTTCTTGTGCAGTTTTGGGTTTAATAATGAAGTAGTTCAACTAGCAGTACCTAGTTCATCTAATTTCCTAATCCTTAAAGGAATTTTAGACGTAATTTCAAGTGACTCTCCATTTTTAAAGAGGTACAAACAGTCGGTGCCGAAATACGTACATTACCGACCTTGATTTAAAGGGTATCGTCTGGAATAGGACATGCCAAGATATAAATAGAGAGTCACTTCTTGACGGCCAACTGACCAGGAGGAGAAGGTCAAATTCAATTTATATTACTGTTACGACTTTGTGACCCCGTTGCTAGCACAAGTATAAGGAAAGCAAATTCAGTTACATCTTATAAATTCAAAACATTTTTGTTCTTCTCAATATCTCTTCAATGAAAGGAATTATGACGAAAAGCATATACAATTTCAATGTGATGTATATTTTACTACAGTTTGACGCAAATAGATTATCAAGTACAATAGGTGGCAACAGAGAAATGGATTAATTATACACGACGTCACAAGTGTCAAATATAACAAAGGAAACGAAATTTTCTTACATTATTTGACATGCATTTCAAGATTAAATAAAAAAGTGTAAAAACAGAAAATAAATAACACATGAAATTGCACCTTTTTCACTGTAAGATAAGCTCTTTACTCTAAAATTATCACTATTATTAATAATTTTGTCGGACACAAAAACTAAGTTGACACTTGTGACGTAAGAATACAGCTGTACTGAGAGTGTACAATTACTGCGTTGCCATCTATTAACAGTCTACTTGGTTTGACGTGCTTATTATGGTAACAGTCCCTTTAAAATTTCTTGTTAATTTATTTCTCTAGGTATGGACACGGAGTATCAGAGAGAGTAGTTGGACAGGCTCTGAAAACATTTCCACGGCAAGCATTTTATATATCTACTAAGGTATAAAAAATTGGGTTTAACACCCAATTTCTAAAGAAGCAACTTCCCAAATGTGCAATTTCACAAGCGGCAACTTCCCACGTACATAGATTCAGCCTGCTTATAAACAGTATAACAATTTTTAAGACAGGGTCAACTTTGAAGTGTTGCAACTAGGGTTTCAAAATTTTCATTCAATCTCTTCCGCGAAAATTTCGTTCAGGCAACGGATAACTGAACGAAAATCACATTTTTCGTTAATTGTTTTTCTCGAAATTCGTCCGATATGGTATATTGGGATATCTTGATACAACCTGGCTACAATATGTAGGCTGATTAATATCCTACCTCCAGGTATATTGGGATCCTGGATACAATCTGGATACAATATGTAGGCTGGTTAATATCCTACCTCCAGGTGTATTGGGATCCTGGATACAACCTTGATACTATATGTAGGCTGGTTAATCTCCTACCTCCAGGTATATTGTTCTATGCGCTAAAAAAATGTTATGTTGAAAATAGAAAGTTGAAAAAAAAAATTTAAATTATGACATTTTTAATTGACTATTAGATACTACAGTTTAATTTTATATTCGAAATTTGCTTTTAATCCATGACATCGACAAAAAACATCAAATAGAGTATAGACAAAGGGACCGTCCCTTTGCGCTCGAATTCTGAACGAAAAATTGGCTTTTTCTCCGGCCACAATTGTCTTTGAAAAGTAAGTAAACGGTCCCTTTAATTCAGAACAAATCATTCAGATATCACAACCTATAATCATTGATAATTTTTCGACCCATTCGTTTATATATTTGATATTTTATAATATTTCTTTTTTTATGATCCGAGATTTACTTTTAAAAACATTTATTCCTGTTTCGAGGATTTTAGATGATGAAGACGACATTTTCATATTTTCCAGGAATGTTCGAAAATCCAGCGCTAGCCGTGAACACAAGTTGTAAGCGAAATATTAATTTTTTAAAAATCTAAAATATCTGAATAATTTATTTGGAATTAAATTGATTTTCATACGATCCGAGTATAATATTGCTACTTTCTGAATTTGTATATGATTCGTTTTTAACAATTTTCTCCTTATAGACCCAACAGATAGAAGTAAAATTAGTAGCAATCCCCATAGAAAATTTTTCGACGTAAACCTATACTCCCTTTCATTTTTCGTGAACACTCCCATTAAAATAATAATTTCATTATGTGTCACACATTTAAAAACTAAATATTTTTTCAGGAACTATTTCAACTGTGCTTAGCTATTGCAGAGCTACAATACTAGACAGGAAAAATTAAACTACTTTTTAAGTTTATTGCTAAAATAATTTTTTTTTTGGTGGCGGGGTTTATATTTTCGTAAAAACTTAAGGTCCTGACGGAGTAAACATAAATTTTGGGTTTAAATGTTTGAAAAGTTTCGATAATTTTTGTTTACAGTTCTCTGTTGGGCAGATACCAGAACTTCTTCAAAGAAAAGGTTTAACTTAACTTCTATATAGTTTAAATCAGCTTCTTTATGGTTTAAATTTACTTCTATATGGTTTAAATTTTACGTTAGAATAATGGCTTAAAAACAATTATTTGTATCAAAATTTTAAAACTTTTTTATTGAGCTCTCGGTAAAAATGGGCAATTAGAATCGAACGAACGAAATTTTTGAGAACGAACGAAATTTGTCGTAAACAATTATGTCCTTCAGAAAAAAAACGAACAATGAGCCAACGACTTGGAACATTCAGAGAAATACAAAAAAACTATCGTTTTTTACTCTTAAAAATGTTATTTCGAGCAAACTTTTAAAAAACACAATAGTTTTTTACTAAACGAACGATTTTTTCCAAAAGAATTTTTAAAGAACTATTTCATCGAACGAACGATTTTACTGAATGTTAGTTTAGTCAGAAAACGAACGAAATGGATGGAAATTAAGCCATAATTTTGAGAGCGAACGAAGTCTAAAATCTTTTAACGATTAAAAAACGAACAAAATGGGTCTTTCACAAACAAAGAAAAAATGAATTGGTCTGTTCACAATCTATTAACAAACGAAATGAGTCGTTCACGAACGATAAACGAATAAAATGAAAAAAGCCGATCTCGCCCATCTCTAGGTTCTAGATTTTCAAAAAATATGCTCGATCGCACAAAGATTAATTCTCAGAACATAACATTGCTTTTTTTCAGGGAATAGGATTGATAAATGCATCTCCTATAGGTATACTACAGGGTGTCCCATTGAGCATGACAGAGAGATACTTATAATCTTTGATCTATCAACAAAATTGCACGTAATTTAAGTCTTCTATGTTTTTAATTGCAACTACCCTTATTAAAAGCTATATTGAGAAAAAATAAGTTTTCATCTAATTTGTTCAGG